CCCCAAAACCCCAAAACCCCAAAACCCCAAAACCCCTTGATAAAAGATAGCGGTTATAAAAATGAATGGAAAGAATGAATTTATCGGTATATTGATCAATAAAAAAATCAAGTTACTTACTTTTTTTAATTTTTAACTGGTATTTAAGCTTGCGCAAAGTTACTCTATTATCATAAATTAAACAATCAAAACCTAATTTTTTGTACGCAAACACTAAATATAATGAAAAGAAAAGGACTTAATCAAAACTAATTTGCAGACTGGGAAGTCGGAACAGACTACGAGTGTATTAAAATACTTGGCCAGGGCTCATATGGAGCAGTTTGTAGCGCTCTTCACAAACCGAGTGGTAAAAAGATGGCTATTAAGAGAATGGATGGAGTCTTTGAAGATGACATTGATTGTAAACGCATTTTAAGGGAAATAAATTTACTTAGAAAGCTACAACATCCTTATGTAATAAAGGTCTTCGATGTGCTAGAACCGAGTAATAAGGAGACTTTCGACTGCATTTATGTGGTGCTTGAGTTGGCTGAGTCTGATTTAAAAAAAGTCATAAAAAGTGCTATTCATTTGTCCATTAAACACATCTAGACTCTAGTTTACAATCTATTATGTGCAGTAAAGTATCTTCACTCTTCAAATGTATTACACAGAGATCTTAAGCCAGCCAATGTATTAGTCAATGAGGACTGTACTGTCAAGATTTGTGACTTCGGTTTAGCTCGCAGCATTAGTGGAGTAGAAAATACTAGTTTACTAGTAAATGGAAGGAGACAAAGGTTATTAAAGAAAGATGAAACTACATCAGGGGAATCTGGAGATGATGTTGTTATCTTTGGTGCTGAATAAGCAAAAATCAAGCCTGCCGAAAGTATTGATCAGCAACTTGACTCATAAATGAATGAACTTAAGCTTGAGGAGTAAAAAAGAGAAATGTCAGAAGAAACTAAAAGAAAAGAAATGTAAAAAAAGCTCCTAAGGACAAAAGATCACAGAAAAAATATGAAGAGAGAACTCACAGGCCATGTAGTTACTAGATGGTACAGAGCTCCAGAAATTATTTTACTAGAAAAAGACTATGGTCCCGCAATCGATATGTGGTCGATCGGTTGCATTTTCGCTGAGCTTCTCGGAATGATGAAAGAGAGTGCCCCAACATACTTAGACAGAAAGCCACTATTTCCAGGAAAATCTTGCTTCCCCTTATCACCAGATAAATCAGTTAAAGAGGAGAGAAAAGGTTTCCCCTTCTCTAAAAATGATCAACTAGCAGTTATATTTGATGTAATAGGAACACCCAAAGAAGAGGATAAGTGCTTTGTTACTGATGCGAAAGCCTTAGAGTACCTAGACGCCTTCCCTAGAAAACCTAGAGCTGAAATGTAGATTATGTATCCTGGAGCAGGTGAAGATGCTATAGACCTCTTAAACAGAATCTTGGTATTTAATCCATACTTCAGACTCTCTGTTGACGAAGCCCTAGCTCATCCGTTCTTTAAGAAGGTCAGAAAGACCGAAAGGGAAGTTACTGCCGAAAAAGACATTCAGATTGAGTTTGAAAAAGAGTAACTTGATAAGAAAAAACTTAGATAACTCATTCTACAAGAAATTTAGCAATATTAATTAATCAAGCGCGACTAGGAGTAAGCTTGATCTCTGATATATTATTAGCTATATTAATACATTATTATTCTTAAACCTTAACTTTCATCTTTTTTAACTAGTAACTTGGGGTTTTGGGGTTTTGGGGTTTTGGGGAGATCGGAAGAGCACACGTCTGA